CCCCAGCTCCCTCCCGTGTCTTTGCCGTATCCCCATTTCCCCCTCACGTTCTGCCAGGTGATGCCCTCGCGTTGGTACTCCGCCTGCTCCTGCCTCAGGATGAGCTCGATGAAAAGCTGCTGCAGCTTCTCGTTGCAGTAGTTGATGCAGAACTGTTCGAAGCTGGGGCCAGGGGTCAGGTTGGCCACTGTCACCTGGCCCCACACCATGCCCCCTGGCCACCGTGCCACACTGGTCCCATCTTTCCATATGCCCTTCTCAAATCATCCCATCCAGTTGTGCCTCCCAAGACTTGTGCCCTCCATGTGTCTCTCCTGGGTCCCATCCCCTCTATATTTCCTTCCCAAGCCATCTCTTTGTGTCACTCCTAGGTGTCCCCTCTCCCTTCCCCACATCCTTCCCATCCCCAATCCTTTCCACATGTCCCTTCCAAGCTCTGTCCCATTCATGAGTCCCTCCCAAGTGTCCCCAACCCTTTCACATGTCCTTTCCATCCCCAACATCTTCCATATGTTCCTCCCAAACTCTGTTCCTTCCATACATCCCTCTGAGGCGTCCCCCTGTCCTCTCTACTTGTTCCTCTTGGATCCCTTCCCCTCTGTGTGTCCTTCCCAAGCCATCTCCTCCATGTGTTACTCCCAAACCCCGTCCCCTCCACATGCCCCTCCCTGATGTCCCCTCATCTCAACCGCATCCAACCCATCCCCAGTCCTCTCATGTCCCCTCCAAGTGTTGTCTCCTCCATGTGCCTTTCCCATCCCACAGCTTCTTTACATATACATTCCACCCTATCCACCTGTACCTCCATCCCCATCACATGTCCCCATTCCCCGTCCCCTTCCAGCCTGGGGCCCGTGTCACCTGTTGGTATCAAAGATCTCGAAGCCATAGATGTCCAGGACTCCGATGACGGTGCTCTTGCCATGCTGCCGGACATCGTAGCCACGTGCGGTGATGCTGGCATTGATGCGCCCTACGATCCATCCAAAGAGCCGCTCGTAGATGGCCTGGGGACAGGGGAACCACGGTCACCTCGAGGGCACGGTGTGGGATGGTGGGACTCCGTTGCCTTCTCCTCACCTTGGCACAGGCATCCCTGCCATAGGCGGCCTCGGTGGGGCTGTGACCCTTCGTGATGAGCTCCCCACCTCCCGTGGCCACAGTGCGGGCCAGCAGTGCCTGGCGGAGCTGCTCCGGTGTTGTTCCTGTCAGCTGGGCCAGCACAGCCAGCTGCTCCACTGCCTCCAGCACCGCCACCTCACCGTCTGCCACGAACCTCACGTTGCCCTGGGGACATCGTAGTGATTGCAGGGGATGGGGATGGCACCGTGCCTGCCGACAGGGCATGGATCGGCAGCCCTGCTATGGGTTGGGGTCCCAAATCACTCTCAAGGTGTCCTGGCATCATTGCTTTGGCTGAGCTCAGGCATATGGGGTCATACTGGTTTGCTTTGAGCTGTACTAGTTTGCATTGGGCTGTGCTGGGCCGTGATGAATTGTGTTGAGTTGTGCTGCTTCACACACCAGGTTATATTGGATTTAATGGGCTGTACCGGTTTGCCTTGGCTGTGCTGCAGTGCACAGGGCCGTACTGGTTTCTGTGGGGTTTACTAGTGCTGGGATGCATGGAACCATACTGGTGCCCAGAGCTACACTGGTCTGCCTGTGCTAATACTGGTGGGGCCATACTGGCCTGCATGGAGCCATACTGGTCTATCTGGGGTCATACTGGTGGGACTAGACTGGTCTGCATGGGAACATACTAGTGGGGCCATGTTGGTGAGGCTGGGGCTGTTCAGGTCTGCCTATGGCCATACTGGTGGGGTCATACTGGTGGGGTCATACTGGTGGGGTCATACTGGTGCCCACGAGGCTTCCCTGGAACTCTCACCAGGTGCAGGATGGCTGCTAGGATGCGTCGCACAGCGCCCACCTCCTCTGGGGTGAAGCCAATGACTGCCATCGCCTCCTCCACCGCCCGGTAGCCACGTGCATCATCACTGTCAGCCTGGAGGAGGCAGGTGAGGGACAGGACGCCCGAGACCCCCACCCTCCCACCCCCCAGTCATCCCTGCCCCACTCACACTGCCCTGGGTGCCCTGCTGGGTGTAGCAGTATGCAGTGGGATCCCGCTGGAGGTGCAGTGAGGCCAGCAGTGCCTCGGGGGCTCCCAGCAGCAGCTATGGAACAGGGGGATGTCAGCACCCTGCCCTGGGCACCAGGACTCCTTGTTCCATCTCAGCTGGCCCTGGCACATCCCAACCTACCCCATTTGGTTGCCATTCTGTACTTACTCTGTCCCACCCCATCCCATTCACTCTCATCCCATCCATCATGTTCCATCCTATAGATTCCACACATTCCGTTCCCATCCCATCCATCCCCTCTTCTCCTACCTGTCTCATCCCATCACACCCTATCCCGTCCCACTGCAACTTATCCCATCCCATCACAACACATCCCATCTCCATCCCATCCCAACATAACACACCCCAACCCATCTCATCTCATCTCATCTCATCTCATCTCATCTCATCTCATCTCATCTCATCTCATCTCATCTCATCACAACACATTCCATCCCAACCCACTGCATCCCATTCCATCATATTCCATCCCATCACAACCCATCCCATTCCATCCCACCCTACTGCAACACATCCCATCCCATCCCTGCCCACCTGGTAGAAGGAATGGAAGTTCCTCTCTCCTGGCTGCTGCTGGAGGACTCGGGACTGGAAGAGGTGGCAGTGGGTGGGTGTCAGGCAGTGCTATGGGCCAGCCCTCACACAGCAATGCCCTCCCACCCCATGCCCCCTGCACCTTCTCCAGGAGGTAATTGTAGATGTGGCCACCGGTGGGGTCTCCCTTGAAGTCAAAGTTGATGTCCATGTACTTGCCAAAGCGGCTCGAGTTGTCATTGCGATTGGTCTTGGCATTGCCAAAGGCCTCCAGGACGCAGTTGGACTTCAGCAGCACATTTTTCACCCTGCCCAGCACAGCATGGTGTGCCATGGCATGAAGGTGTGCCATGGCATGAAGGTGTGCCATGGCATGAAGGTGTGCCAAGGCATGAAGGTGTGCCATGGCATGAAGGTGTGCCAAGGCATGAAGGTGTGCCATGGCATGAAGGTGTGCCAAGGCATGAAGGTGTGGCACTTCACCGTGCAGCATCCCAGCTCTGAAGCCGATGGATGCAGGATGCGACACCTTTGTGTCCATGGGTTTCCCCAGCTCCCCATATCATCCCCAATGGGCACAATGCCCCCCTGGGGACACCCCGAATGACAGATCTGTGCCCAATCACCCAATTCTCTGTTGGGTTGGACTCACCTCTCCACCTCGGCACGCTGCGTTGGATTGGTGATGGCTGCGATGTACTGCATGATGTACTTGCTGGCCTCCGTCTTGCCAGCCCCGCTCTCACCTGGCAGAGGCAGGAAACTGGCAAGGTGTGCACCCATTGGCACCCAGCTCCGAGGGGTGCCCTTCACTTGTCCCCTACCTGAGATGACGATGCAGGTGTCCTTGGCACGGCGCTTCATGGCCTTGTAGGCAGCATCAGCCAAGGCGAAGAGGTGCGGCGGGCGCTCGTAGAGCTCACGGCCCCGGTACTGCTCCACCGCAGAGGGGCCGTACAGCTCCAGAGCCCGGTACGGATTCATGGCCACCACCACCTCTCCGATGTAGGTGTAGATACGGCCCTTTGAGAACCTGCACACAGGGGCAGCAGTGGGACAAGGTGCGTCCCCATGCTTCATGCTGTGGGGCTATACAGGGCACGAGGGGAGCAGCTCTTCCTGTAGGCAGCACCCATGGGTGCAAGCAGGAAGTGCAGGGCACCAGGGTGGCACACACACCAGGACAGATAGACACATTGTTGTGCACGATCACACACACACAACCCAACGCCCACCCAGACACCCCCCACTCAGCTCCAGGGCCGTGCCTTCCTTTCCCTCAACCAGCAGCAGGGCGCTGCCCAGCACAGATGTTTCCTTTTGGGTCAGGGTTTGCACCCCAGGACCATTCCTTGACCTACACCAAGGATTTGGGGTCCCCAGGGCTGGTGGTATCCCCATCACCATGCTGCTGAGCACTGCATCCTGGCTGCACCACCCCGCCTCGGCCTCGCCCATCCTTATCTCACCCATCCCAACCTCACCCCACCCATCCTGCCTCGCCCTGCATCCCCGTACCGCAGGCGCAGGTTCTCCATGAAGTGCTCCATGGTGACTTCATCCAGCAGGACGAAGTCAGCCTTGCCAAACTCGGGGCCCTCCAGCTCCGCCATGCTGCGCCCACCACCCACAAGCACCACTTCCCCCCTCCGTGCTGCTTCCTGCACCTCTGCCCGCCCAAGCAGCGGCGCAGGCGCGCGGGACGTGGGGCCCAGCCCTACTGTCACCTCCCATGGGGAACAGCGTGGTGGTGACAGGAGACACACAGAAGGGCAGGGTGGGGAATTTGTCCCCACGCTCCAAAGCACTCGGGCACCAGTCCTATAGAGGAGTCTGCACCTCCACGTGCCCGCAGTGGGATCATCCACAGGGACACGAGCCAGGGACGCACGCAGCGCTGTAGCAGCGACGTTACAGTCATTCATCCGGCCCCACACCGCAGCACCCTGAAAGCTGCAAGCCTGTGGGTTGGTGCCTCCACCCACACAGTGGCTGATGAGACAGCAGTGACAGCCGTGACAGCCACTGCGTGCACCAAACACGGTGCAGCCAGGGTGAACTGCTGGCACCACACCCTGGGCACAGAGCCCAGTAAGGACCACAGCAGCCCAGGGCAGGTCCCCCGAGGACACATCCCTGCCCCACAGGCACCAAAACCCAATGTCCTCTCCATGGGATGCAGTTTTCTCACCGCCAGCCCTCAGGGCACAGCACTGCGGTGCCGATGGGCTCACAGAAACCCCACGAGGTGCAGCAGCACAGATGCCTGGCCTCAAGCCCACGTTTCCCTATCCAGGAGCAACAACAGGAGCCTACAGCTGTGAAAATACCAGAGATTTGTATTTATTGATGCGACACGTGCTTGTACAGCAGTAAATACAAGCAACTGTACCCCCAAAATATCAGTACACAGCCAACACTCCTCATCAGCACTGGGTGCTTTGGAGAGCAGAAGCCCCCACTGCTGAATCCTGTTCCAAGGGTGGGGAAATGCACCCAAATCCTCTCCTCTTCCTCAGGAAACTTCTTGTGGGCCCATCCTGCGCTGAGCAGCTCCTCACCGCACCGCAGAGCACACAGGCAAGTTGGAGACTTCCAGTTGTGGCTGTTCACCCAGGGTTCCGAGCTGCACTGGGCTCGCACACTTCATGCTGGGCACTCAGCACCGTTTCACCTGAAGATAAAGCACAAAGAGCTGCATTAATCACAGAGACAAGGAGATTTCATTGCCCTGCAGCCCCACTCAGGTGGCTTTTACTCGTCTCTGGTGTACTTCCTATTTGTAGAGTGAACTGAAGCACTCAGGAAGCCCCTAGGCTTGTCTTACCTTCATGTGATCCAGCAGAGCATCACCCGTGAGCTCACATTTCTTCTAAATGCAGCTTCAGATGCAGCTTCACAGCTTCAGCACAAAGAACTGAGTGGCAGTTGCAGGCAGCTCTGTGGGGCCCAGCAGAAACCCCAAGACAGGGCTGGAACCATCAGAGGTAGCACTCCTTTCAACCAGGATTTAAAGACCTGTGGCAGAAGTATCAGTGAGTGAAAGAGCAGGCAGGGTGAGTGCTGCCCTGAGGGTCCACAGTCCTATTAGCCATACTATGCTGGGAGGTTCGTGGCAATGAGAGAGACCTGCAGCGTGTGGTGAGTAAGCCTTGCTGGAGAAGGGCTGAGGGGAAGCCCTGCAGCCATCTGCACTCACTGCACCTAGCAATGGAGTAGGCAGAGCAGGGAGTGAATAACACTGCAACAAAGGGAGAAGAGCTTCAGAGCACATGGCCTCACATCACTGCCCCATTAGCTGCAGGAAAGGAAGTAGCCCAGCTGCATCCCTGTGCTGCAGCTCTCAGCCCTGAGGGACTCATTGATGAGGGCCAAAGAGGAAACAAGGCACTGAAGCTACTTGATTATGCAAAGTATGACTAATCACGGCAGAATGAAAAAACCCCTGCAGAGCCACCCAGTGAACATACCTGCCTGCTCCCTGCAGCATCAGGTGTCCGTCTCGACCATCAGACAGGGGAACTGCAAGCTGAGAAGAACAGTATTGTTACAAAATACAATCACAGAACTGTAGGGGTTGGAAGGGACCTCCAGAGATTATCGAGTCCAACCCCCCAAAGAACAGAGGAAGGAAGAAAGCAGCTCTACAAGTCCAGGAGAGAAACAGGAGCTAGGGGACAGAGTGTATGGAGTTTCTATAGCCTCCCTCTGAGAGACAGAAGAAGGCCTCAAACCACCCCAGGGCTGCTCTGGCAAGCGCTGCAGGAATGGATGGGGCCACAGCAGGCCCCACCATGCTGGAAGCCTTGCGGGGCACAGCTGAAGGCAAGTATTCCAATGTTCCCCTTTCATACCTTTAGGGCCGAGGCACGCAGCACAGAAAACAGAAAGGAAGAAGTGGTGGATGCTGTGGGGAGAAAACAGCGTGAGTCAGGAGGAGCAGCTCTAAGACACACCTGCTTTCTCTAAGGACTGGGATCGCTTAGCAATCGCTAATAATCGTGCAGACGCTCGGTGTCTCCGTGGGATCCTCGTGGGCTCCCTCGCACGTGCACGGATACAGCCGCATCACCCCTCGGGCACGGCTGACCCACCAGGCCATGGTCCCCAGGACCAGGCCTAAGAACACACGCAGGCCCCACGGTGCAGACCCAGACAGCCCGAGCCCACCCCTCCTAGCGCATATCGCACCCCAGATGGCTGAGGTGAGCAGTGTTCAGAGAAATCCACCTCTCGTACGCCTCCACCGCGCCTCCCAGACCCGCCAGACGGCGGATGGCGGCGGATAGCGACAGACCGCACCGCACCGCACACCTACCCGCCATCACCTCCATGTTCGAGAGGGCGGTCGCCGATGAATGACGTCAGCACTCCTCGCTGCGGCGGGCAGCGGCAGCGCCCCCTTGCGGCAGCGCCCCCTTGCGGTTAGAGGCGGAAAGCAGACAACGTACATGCGCAGGGGAGGGATCAGCACCCCCGAGTGGGCGTGGTTATGCAGATAAGCCGTGGGGTGAGGGCGAGCCGAGTAGCGCATGCGCAGTACTTCTCCTCGGGAGGAGGACTGACGTCAGTCCTCCGAGCGCCGCGCGGGGCACGCCGGGAAGCCGCCGCCCAAGATGGCGGCAGGATTGAAAAGTGGTCGGCGGAGCTGAGGCGGCCCGGCATCTGACCGCCTCCCGGGGCTGCTCTGCCTCTTCCCGGCCCCGCGCAGCCTCACCCCGCCGCCCCAGGGCCGCTGCGGGGATGCCCCGGAGGGGGCCGGGGCCGCCGTTGCAGCCGCTGCTCCCGGAGCCATGGAGGAGGAGGGCAAGAAAGGCAAAAAGGTGAGAGCGGGGCTGGGGGTGCGGCCTGCACAGGCGGCTGGGCCGCTCCTTTGGGCCTTTCGTGTCGTCGTCGTGAGGTGGAAGCGCTGCTCCATCTCGTCGATTTACGTTTGTGTTTCTTTCCCTCTGCTCAGACCCGTTTTATTGCGTTATTTATGTAGGGGAAACAAAGCCTGAACCTCTGTGTGAAGGATGAATCTTTCCTGCGGTTCTGGTGACATAAGTGTGGGGGAATGCACTATTTTTGGTGCTGTCTCAGCTGGGGATGCTGCAGTAAGTGGGGCCTCGGGAGGTGGCAGCAGAGCTTCCAGCTGGAGGCTGTGGGATGCTGCAGGAGTTGGGGCCTGTTATGGTTTACCCATAGTGCTTAATCTCTGGTTAAATAAGAAGAATTGTGCTCATTGCCCTGTGCAGGGAAGGAAACATGGCTCCTGGTCCTCCCTGGAGGGCTTTGTAAAGGCTGTGATGCCTATGAGCTGTGTGCAGTGTGATGGGATCAGTGGTGTGGGTGGTGCTCAGTACACAATGTTTCCTTGCTCAGAAATCCTTTTCTGCTCTAAGAAATCTCGCTCTCAAAGGTGTAAATGATTGCAAAGCAACTTCAGCTATAATGTAGGAATGAGCTGTAAGGATGGTGCTTGGCTGGAATACCTCGTGAGGAGTGATCCCTTCTGGAAGAAGTTCTCATCTCCACTGTATGCTAGGCTTCTGTTATTTTGCAAAAGATAAATCAGCTTTAAATTCTGCAGTGCAAAATTACGTTCTCTAAGTGTGTGTGTGCCCCTCTGTGACTGGGGGGAGAGCTCTGCTGTTCTGTCTACTGTCATCTGGAGCTGGGGGGAGCTGAAGGAGGAATTATGGTGTAGGTATAGCCTGGGCAAAGGGAAGGACAGCTTCTGGGAAGACAGAGCTGTCAGATCTGGTGGGAGGGAGCTTTTCCTGTCTGCTTCACTATAGGGAGTGAGGAGGCAGCTGGCTCCTGTAGAGAAGTGGATTTTCTAGAGTCAGTGGAGCAGAATGCTGGGACAGACTCCCAATGGGTCTGGAGATCTCTAGGGGTTGGAAGGGAGCTTTAGAGTCCATCCAGTCCAGATCCTGCAGTCTGTTTAACCTCGTTCTATACAAAGTATTTGAGTGGAATTTGCTGTGGTTTGGTTTGTGTCCCACTGAGAAAGGGCTGGGTTCTTCTCTCTGTCACCACTGGTATACAGGCTGGTACAATCCCACTGAACCTTCTTGTGGCTGACCTGCTCCCCCTCTCCCTGTCTCCCCTCTTGTGCCAGCTGCCCCACTCTCTTTGTCACCTTCACAACCCAGACCCTGTCCCAGCACATCCCAGTCTCATACTGGTGACATCAAACTGGACATGGTGCTGGCATCACAGTGCCATCAGTGATCCTGCTCAAGGAGTGTGCTGAAACACTGTGAAAGCAGCTCAGTGCCAAAGCATATCTCTGGCTAACAGATGTGTGCAGAGGTCTGGCACGTTGCAGATTTGGTCCCCAGATTCAAGCATCTGTGGCTTCATTTCAGTGCTGAAGCCAGGGTATGGCTGCAATCCTCTCAGCACTGATTTTCCATCTCTATGAAGTGAAATGACCCTCAAGCATATCCCTGCAGCTTTTTAGAGCTTGAGTTGCTATTGAAGATAGCTAGTTTGGCTGTGTTCATTCCTTAGCCTTTGTGGTTCCCAGCCCCAGGAGCTTTAGGGAAAGATCTTCCCTATGCTTTACATACAACGTGGATCTTCCTAGGATGCAGGTGGCTGGCCCCCAGCCAGTGACCTTCTGGGTTGAAGCGCAGCAAATGAGTTTCTTTAGCCCTATTAATAAGTAGAATTAGGACAGTTTTGGTCAGGATTAGAAAGAAAATCCCACTCTGGGGAGGAGCAGGCTTACACAGATGAGGTCTTGGCTGAAATTGGAACTCTATAAATCTTACAAATGCTCGTGTATCAGATGTTAGTGTAATCTTTCTGACTTCACTGGCTCCAGTAAACCCCAGGTCTTTGGTGTCTGTTTGCTTCCCCTGTTTCTGGGATGAGTTGATCTGTTGCGTGGGGCTGCTTTGTCAGTTGCCAGATCTGCTTGTAGAGCTGATCCATGGAGCTGAATTCTTTGTGCCTTTCAATACTGGTTTGTGTGCAGGATGTTGGCAATTCCTTCTCATGCAGATCATTGGAAAATGTCTGCCAAAAGTAAGGGGGCTGGTTCTTGTTAACATTGGATGCTGCAGTATGAGCTCCCTGCCCTAATATAAAAAATACAAAGGGACTGGGATGGAGGCTCCATCTCTTCAGAGTTTCTGGTACAAGACAGGTTTTTGCTGGGTAAGGAGCTACAGGATGGTTGCTTGCATGTCTTGAGCATGCAGTGTTTGTGCTGGAAGCAGTGCTTTCAGAAGGCAGCATTCCTGTCTGGGAGTCTGTGGCTGTGGGGTGGCTGCTCCATGACTTCACTGTGAGATTATGCAGGCCACTTCAGTGATACTAGATCATTTATTATTTTTTTTTTTTAAGCTCCATTGGAATTTTCACACTAATGGAAGCACACCACTTCTTGGGCTCTGTGTGGTTTTGAGCGTGGAGGGCTTACCCTGGGTGTGCATTTCCAGCTGCAGCAAACCATATGGAGAGCATTCCTGCAGGCTAGCTCTGTCACCAATTACTCTTTTTCCTGTTCCAAGACCACTGCAGCAGCCACCATCTGATCCCCAGCTCTTCCAAGGGCATTGTGCAGTTTGCTGGATGGGCTGGGATGCTTTGTGAGAGCTCAGGCTTCAGCTGCTTGACATGTTTTCTCCTCGGGTGCTTTGTGTCTCATGCAGGAGGCTGCACTGAGGGTATGAGTAGTATGTACCTCCTTTCCCACCTCTGCACATACACATTCTAGGAAATATTGAAGATAACTGTGGAGGGCAAGCTGCTCTGCTCCTGGTGTGTCCCTTTTAGTGGTGCTTGATGTGCTGCTTGTGAGGGTCGTGCCTGGTCCCATGGCAGGCTTAAAGCACGTGCCCTGTCTTCTCACCTTCCCTTGCTGATAGTTCAGCCTTGTAGGTGAGAACAACCAAAGGAGCCTGGTGTGGCTCTTTGAGAACTGCTTGATTTCACTGCTGTCCTGCTAAACTTAGCTGTGGATGCAAACATTGGTGCTGGCTGTATCAGCTGAAGCTTGGGAAAACCCCAAGTGCAAATCAGCATTTCCTTAATCTTGCTCAGAATCTCTGCCTGCATTCAAAAGCTCAATGGTGAGTAAATCTGTTCTTGGCTGCTTTTGACCTCATCCTGTTTGCTAGAATGGAACGGGAGCCTCTTTTTGTGGAAGATAATCAAGATACGAGGAGCAGAGGCTGAGTGAAGGTCTGTGTGTCTTGGCTTAAGGCTTGAAGCAGGGAAATGTGGGGTGAAAGCAAGGACAGGTAGCTAGAAAGAGTGGGAAGCTGAGGAATGGTACGGTGTGAGAGTGGGGCTGGTTTGCTGTGTGCAGCAGGTGACCTTCCAGCACTGCTCAGGTACCTCACATGCAGTGCAGATCCCTGAAATAGGGCAGCCAGAATCTCAAGATCCACAGCTTGTCTAAACCAAAGGATTTTTGGTGCTCCTCCTGCCTCAGCTGCTTACTTGGCTGCAGGGAGAGTATTGGTCTGAGCTATGCACCTGTGGTAGCCCTTGTCCTCAGCATCTTCCAGCAATGCCATCCCCAAAAGATGGCATCAGGGTGGTGATACCAAGAAACCTGGTGTCTTCCAGGATGGAAATAGGCAGGAGGAAGCACTCAGTGTTCATGTGTGCTGCTTCTGCCCTGCTCCAGCACTGCTGCAGGTGGAGCTGCTTTGTCCTTGTCCTCATTTCTACCAGTATGTGTGGTGTGCTTAGTAAATGCTGCCTCATCTGTGTCCTCCTTCCAGAGGATAAGGGCAGAACAGGCCTGTGTGTGGGCTCCTGGGTTCTGTACCAGCACAAAGATGGACTTTCAGATTCTGGCCAGGTCTGGCTTTGCAGGATCTCTCTCCCATTCCTCTGGTGCTGGTTGGGTATGAAGAGCAGCTGTGGCTGAGGGCAGTCACTTGGATGTCGATCATGGGGCAGACCAGCTTAGCCAGGACAGGTGGCAGCCTTGGGGTGTCACGTACAGATGGTTGGGATGAGGGGATCTGTGGAAATAGGAGCAAGACATCACACCCCAGCTCTGGCAGGGTGCATCCTGCTGTTGTTAGTGTGAGCAGCAGGGTGGTGAATGTTTGGGAAGCAGACCCTGCCTCAAGGAGGGTATCAGTGGGCACCAGTGCTGCTTTGCTGCTGAGATGTGGGGAAGGGCACACCCTGCAGCAGTGCTTCATGCAGTGCACATTTTCTCTGGGCTTGCACTGCCTGCTTTGGAATAGTTTTCACTGTTGTGGGCTTTGCTCTGTGCAAAATAACCACTGTATAATTTGGTAAATTCTTGCTTTGTTGTCTGGTGAAGGCTGGCAGACAAAGTCACAGAATACA